GTCGATTTCCATTTGTAAGCGATCTTGCACTCTTTGTTCCCTGACCACATACAGCAAGAGGAAGACTGCTGTGTTGCTGACAGTTTCTACGCCTGCTTCTAACAAGTCTAGACATACCACCTGGAGTTCTTCAGCAGTCACTGTAGCATAGAACATCAATATTGAGAAAGTACTCTTATAAATTGAGACAATGAATTCAATCTGTTTTTTATATTCTTCTTGTTGTTTGTCTTCTGAATTATCAGTTATAATACAATTAATAACAATTATTTACTTCACTAAATATGTGGTAAAGAAAATTGGCGATGCAATTTATTATTGACGAGGTAACGCATAAAATATCACCAATAGTCTGTAAAATGTTATTATGTCTCACGCCTACTTATTTATTGTATTGTTCTAGTTGCAATAAGTTCAATTTAAGAATATAAAAATCAAAGTGATTTCATACATGTTTTATCTTCCTGGTTCTTCATTTCAATAAGAAATGCGTCAATCACATCTCTTGGATTTTTATCGTCTAGATTTGCCCGGTGTTCTTCGATTACTTCCTAAAAGAAATATTACAAGATTTAACGAATACTTAAGTATATTTATTGTAGGAAGTTGCTGAGTTCATGTTGTTTGTTTGGTTGTTACATTTTTTACTATACAACATATTTTTTTAGTAATATAGCGTAGATAAGAAAATAGCACATAGTCTGACGTCATATTAATACAAACATAGTGGCCATGAACTAAATGTTTTATCTTTTTCATAAAAGATATGAATTAATTATTGTAAGTATCTTAATTTTCAACCAGGAAAATATTGTAGTTTGATTGTAAAGGTAGAACTATGTCTATTAGTGGAATCATTTACTATTTATTCAAAGAAAAGCTTGTTTTTTATTAACATTAACAGGAGCTAAATGTTCTAATTTAAATAGATATTTTGGTCGCCTAATGTTATTCGATACTTTATCATTGGCGCTTTTCAATTTGCATAGCTAGTTTTGTTTATTTTTGTAATAAATATCTAGTGAGAAAAATTTGAATATAATACTGAGCGTTCACAGGTCGGGATTGGAGGCATAGGGCGCAACACATAATATGGATTATTATTTTACATGCGTTCACTGTATCGGCAGCGATAGGATTGCCGATGCCTGTTTCAGTCTGATATTCTGATCGTACGTGTGTACATATGAATGGAGGAAAGCAATGAATGTTATTATTGATTTTACGTGAGTATTGTTGTCTCTGTTTTGTCAAAGACAATGTGAGGGATGAAAAGATGTATCCATAAAAAGTGTCTGCAGCCAAAACCTACACTCAGAAAAGTACCCTTTTAAAATCCTTTCTGCGCCAAACCGAATTTTAAATTTTAACGTTATAGACGTCTTTGTGTAGTTATACTTACCTTCAAATAAGCGTATATAGAATGATTAATCTTCATAAGTTCAGTGTATCCGATGAGATCGGGCATTATGTGCCTGAGGAACGGCAGAAAGTTCAGTACTCCGCCGCTCATGTCGACCACTTTGAACGATCGTGTTATCAGATCACATAGTGATTTCAAACGTTCATCCGTAAGGTCATATCTAAAAATATTTTTATAAGACGTTTTAAATAGAGGACAAAAATTGAGTCACCGGCATGTAAATTAGCTTTACATATAGTCAGTCAGTTCAGTTCAGACAATTCTTGACGTTGTTTAAATGATCGCTTTTGAAGTCCTAAGTTCAATATTGAATAAAGTAATATAAAAGTTTGAATTTCGTAGACTATCTAATATTTGAAATTGAACTTATTTTATGCCAATAAAAAGGCTGGCACTACGACACCATTATACTTCTGTTTTTAATAATGTATTAATATTTAATACACTATTGCAGTATCGTGTGAAATTTTCATGGTGATTAGATTGTGATTCATAAATGTATTTCTTTTTACTACGGTAACAGGTAAAAGGAACGAAAATGTATATTTAAGTTGCGGTTCTTTTTTTTATAACATAAGGGTGTTCATCCCCTAGTAGTGATCACCGACGTCCATGGACATCTACAACAGAGTACTGCAGATGCATTTCCGGTCTTTAGGAAAGGTGTATGCTCGAATCTTGAAGGACTATGTTCTGCGCAAAATATTTAACAATAACCAACCTTTTACCTGCTACCAAGCGCCAAACGACATTGACAATGCACACATTAAACAGTTTATTGACGCAAACTGCCCGCCCAGCGCTGTTCTCTAATAGTATGGTCAGCGCCTGACATTCCTCGCTTATCTGAGCCTCCATAGCCTTAGAACCGTAGCCGTAATGCTTCAAATACTTTAACACGGTCCGCCTTCTTTTATTCCAATACGGTCCATCAGCGAACACTAAGCCTGAATTAGCAAGTTATTTATTTTAAATGAAATTTTATATATTCTGTAATTTGGTTAAATGTGATACTCTAACATTGATACTAGTAGGAGTTATTGCTGTGAATGTGAGATTTTATTTACTAAAGAAGTGGAACAAATAAGCGTCTGTTCCCGTCTAATTATGCTGTGGGTAATACAATTGTGATTGGCAAAGTTGCAAAGAACATTCATCTAATGGCCACTAAAATTTTGATATAAAAAATACTACCTTCTCTACAACATAAGTTCGTATAAAAACGTGGATTCGAATCGAAGTACTAAAAATATGAAATTAACGTACCTAATTTCTTTCCGAATGATCTCATCAGATAAAAGAAGCCATCAGGTCTACCTTCGAAAACTTCCCTCGAGGATACCTCCTTTATGTAATCCTTACCAGACACAACTATGACATTGATAGTCCCGAGCTGCAAGCCTAGTATATCTCCATACTTCTGGGACAGTGTTTGCCATACTTTATGGCGATATTTTAACTTTTTATGTTTGTACCACACAGTTAACATATTACCAATGAAAGGCAATAGACCAGGACCTAAAATATAACAGGACTCTTACAAATAAGAAAGATAAAAGTGCTTATTTATCTTGTACTCAGTATAATATTTCGTTCGCACATTTCTCTTTGTACGGTTCTGGCAATTTCGTCGGCTTTCATGGACTATTCGAATACATTATGCACGTTACAATGCTTATATTATTTTTCTAAAGTATGACAGAATTCCATGCGCAAATATATAGAACATTTAGAAAATAAATCAAAACTGACAGTAAAGTAATATGACTTTTGATTGAATTTTTTAAGAGGTAAAAAAAGATTAATCCTGGATTTCCAAGAGCAAAAATTCAAAGTAACCTGGTGGGTAAGCTGGTGGTCGTTGGGTAGTCAGAGTGATGAGATAGAAAAATAAAAAAACAATTAGGATGACGGTCCACATCACTGCACTGCACAAAAATCAACTGAAACTGTTTAGTTACCGGTAGCGAAACTATTTTTTCTTAGAGATTTTATCGCAAAACGACAAATAATCACGCCTTGTGTTATGCAAATTAACGAGGAAGTAAGTTTAAAATAATCTAAGATCTAACAAACAATGGTTGGTATTGATACCGTATTTATTTCTTTATGTTCGTAGATGAAAGAAGTTACATATTTATGGTTTTAAAATATACTTACACGTGTTTCATCACATTTGAGTTCTAGTTTTTTTTTTTTAATTTTGTCTTTTTTCAGACTCGATTATTATTTTATTGTGGTCATGCAAATCATGTGTGCAAATCTTAATTGTTAAAAGATTGATAGTACACATTTAACTTTTCGGGTTTTGATATGAAATTGTCCTGACATTTTCATTTTTTGCTAATTAAAACCAACATATCGTTGAAATGAAGTCAGAACACGTTAGATAAACAAGAAATTGACCTTTCAGAAACCGGATGTTAAAAAAAAAAAATTGTAACACGGTCAAGGTATGTTTACTAATATATAAACTTGTCTTATTAAAAAGTTTGCTTTCTTCGATTTTGATAGTGCGGAAATTTTTTAAATATTTATTTTCAATCCATATATTTGATAAGATTATTGTTACTGGGCGGGGTTGACAGATAATTATTAAATGACTTTAATTTTACATTCACACGACACTCTTTTAGATAATTATCTATCTCTTATGCCAATCTTGATCATTAAGAATTATACGATTTGCAATAACTAAAAACCGTAATGCACATTTTCTGATACTTACGTAGTATCTGATACGGTACGTTTTTATCTTTTATTGCGTAGATTATCTTATATTCGTGGTATTTACTAGGTATAAGATACTAAAGTTATGTTATTGACAGAGTTAAACTAAGATAGCATTTCATTGAGGCATGAATGTGAGCTTGTCTATAAAACAGGTAATAAAATAAGCTAATATTTTATGTTCTAAACTAATGGCTTAATGATATTAAACAACGAATTTAGAAACCGTGATTATTGTTATTAACTCTTTTTTGCTGCAATCGATAAAGATAAAAAATCCAAACTGAAAAGGCTGGATTAAAAGGTGAGAGATTCGCTTTTGTTTCGGCGTTTTCAATTCTTCTATTATAAAGTGGTTACGTGTTGTACACAATTGTTGTGAAAAGAAAAGTCTTTGAGGTCAAAAATTAGCGATTGAATTATTAAAATTTCATTTGCACCTCTTGATGATAAAATATAATAATATTTAAATAATCTAAACTGGTTGGAAACAGCCAATCTTGCGCAACTGTCCCATACTTTTCACAACCTTGAGAACTTGTATTTTGCATATTTTTGTCAAGAATGATGATAAGAATAAAACTAAACGAGATAAGAAAAAAAAGTCCATTAATCGATTGAAATGAAAAATTAATACGCTTTTTAACAAAATTTGTTTGTTTAATTGTTATCAATAATAGTTACTTTGAAAAGTGATTTACGTTATCACTCTCGAAACGAATATTAAAAACAATATTGTTCAAAAACAAATCTGACGACACAATTGCTAGCGGGTGTTAAATCATACAGCCGCGATATGTGGTCGACTTGATAACGCGTTCAGTGTTTATACGTCTTGAAAATTAACCGTACGTTATGACTGGTCATTGTGGTGACCGATCGCTATATAACTGATGTAGAGCTCCGGTCGCCGCATTTAATGTTGTATTATCGAACGATATAGACCTGCGTCTAACTTAACCTAACCTAATCTTTTATCGATATAATTAAAGTGATGGCACCGATCACAGACAGTGTGAACGGAAGTAAAATTTATACGCCCGTGAAGCAAAGTCTACCAGAAGTTGATCCTGATGACGGATATGGCGCGAAACGGTATGTTTTAAAAAATATCTGAGTTTCAATTATGATATCTTACGATAAAAACTTTGGTAATATTTTTAACATTCGAGAACAGACATGAGAGAGACAAGTTTAAAATGCATAGTTAAAGCGAAAAAAAGCTATTTTTTTTCAAGGTTTAAAATAAAATAAAAATAAAACTGAAATAATTACGGTAGCATTTCGCTTAGTTGTTGATCGTTACATATTTTTAAATGAAACATACAAAACTGGTCCTTATGTTTTAAAACACAATATTATTAGTGATTACATAAGTAAGAGGACGGCAGCGGCGGTATTCAACTGAGGTTAATTGACAGCAAGTTGTTCATCCTTGGCTCCTCGATACGATACACAGTGAATAGTTTGCGAGATATCAATATCAATATTATACAGAGAAAATACTTGTTTGTTGCTAATAAAGTTTAAAAAGTTTGAACTGATTTTCCTCAACTTTTATTGAAATGAAAATTTTAAATAAAAGTTGAGGAAAATCAGAAAAAAAATTTAATTGAAAATTATTAAAATGAAAATGTTGGGCGCATAATGTGGTTATTGTCATGAAATTTAAATTTGGATGAAAACAGTTAGTGATATACTTTAAAAATGTTTTTCTATAAAAAGTAGAGTTTGTGTTAAAACCGCGATGATTTTCTATATCGTATTTTGGTATCGTAAATAGGTTTCTGGAAAAAAATAGAAAATGTGTTGTAATGCTTGTTTAATTATTGAAAAACTCCAATTAAAATTACCAAAATCCTACAAAAATATTTCTCTGAATAAAATTGACTTATTTATGATATCTAATCATGAAGACACTATTATGTATCAACTACGTAAATAGTTTATTTCAATCGCTTCGGTTACTTCTAAGTCTTTTTCGCATTATGAATATACATATTCTTATAATTATTTTGTCTAAAAAACAACTCGTAAAAGAAAATATCAAGGAACAAATTATAGTGAAAATAACGTTATTCAAGTATAGTCATTAACATAATATAAATTACAAATGCATAATTTTTCATATATGGATACTTCTAGTAATTGGCTTCTTTAACAATCACTGATGAGATATATCTTTAGTTCTACAAACATGTTTCTTGTATGTCTGGACCGGGGGCCGGACTCACTTGAGATGGTCAAAGTTGTCAATCAACTTATACTTTTTGTAAAAAAAAAGAAGACTCGACTGGTCTGACGTCACATAGTCTAGTATTATAAAAATTGTCGACGAAACCTGTATATAAGTGTTATGCCAGTGTCAATTTACAGTGTTACATTCATATTTTCAAGTACACTACATGTTGTGTATTATTCGAGTCGTGGTTACATAAAAACATTCGGTTTAGTGAAAATTTTGCTTTTTAATCTTTCCTTTTTATTCTTTTTTTGTATTTAATTTATAATGTTTGACCTGGACTCACGATACAAATTCCGGTAATTTCCTTTTTTAATTTATGATTACTTTTATTGATTAAAAAAATCATTAATCTTAAGTTATTTAGTAACATTGTGTTATATTAAAAACTTGATTCACGATAATAATTTTGATAAATTCAGAATGTCTTAAAATGTATTCCACATTTAAAAGTTATAAAAATTTTATGCACATTTATTAGCCAGCTTTTTAGATAAATACTTTAGACATAAAACATGAGAGTTTTTTGTAAGTTATGGGTATATTTTTATAAAAATTATTACATTTTCAAGACATTAATTTTGGCATACCGTAAGTCATCTAATAGTTATTAAATTCTACAAGGAGAATAAAATAATTTATATAAATGTTGCTTTTATTGCTTTTAATAAGAATACTTGCTCAAAACATGTTAGTGAAAAATTACAAATCATTGTGTAATAGTTCCAAATTAATATACGAAAAAAACGAGTCTAATAATAGTTAAGGATATTATAGCACGAACGAAGTCAGGTTTAAATTATCATACTACTATATCAAAACATCTATAGATAGATAATATATGTGTTTCGATAGGAATTGATCATTTGATTTTAATTCAACAAATAATTTTCTTTTTTTTATTCCTGTAGTAGTTTTTAATAACCCAATAATAAATAAAATTAAAACTAACTTACTTAAAATTTTTAAGCACTGAAACGTGTCTAAAGTAATTACTTTTTGTTCAATTTGTAGAGAACGAGAACATAAATATTAAAACGACTACTGATTGCTTATTATCATAAGTATAAATTTAAAGAAAAGCAATATCTTTTATACAAAAAAGACTTGAAAATTCTTCAAATATGTAATTGCATTTAAGTATAAATTCTTCCAAATCAATCGTCTTATTAAATATTATAAATTAGTAGTTAATAATTATGTTATTGTGAAAGCTGCATATATTATCTACGAATAAATTCAAAGGAGTCCAGAAGTGTTGAAGTCAACCAAATCTCACCGGGTCACTCTGAAGCCTAGTCACCCCTTCTATAAGCTATACTCAAGTCTTTCGGTGGGGACGTATATCAGTTAACGATAATTAATTATCAATTGATAAATAATAACTTTATTTACAGGTATTCGTACGAAACCCTTGTGGAGATAGCAAATTTCCTACTCTCCCGCGTCTCAATCCGGCCATGCATCGGCGTCATTTGCGGCTCTGGGATGGGTTCGTATTGGAAACAGGGTATTTATTGCTTCAAATTATATGTGCATATAACTTTTTACGCATTATCGTAACAATTTAAATACCATCAAGCAATCAGTATGATCGAAGTGCGAATGCGAGTAAATTAGGACATGGACCAATTTAAACTATACTTATTTGTTAACATAAATATCGTATTACTGCATACAGTGAGCCAGTTTTTATTTAAACACGTGGTTTAACCTTTTGATCGCCCATGATTGATATTATGGACGTCAACGTGGTTACAAAAAATATGTTTTAACCTTAAATATGTATGTATATCCAAAACTTCTTTCGCTAGCCTACGAATAATCATATTACAATTAGTGTGATTTTTGGTAATGTTATCAGCGTGCGATAAAAAGGTTAAGTATTATTGAAGCTACATCTACGTCATTTACGGTTAGACCCATAAAAAATATGATGATCTCTTTCAACGTGGTATGTACACTAAATACCATTGCCTCCTTTTCATTTATAGCATTGTTTGTTTTGAAACTTTGTGTTGGCTTACACTTAGATAAAGATCAGCATAATGCGACAAGCTTATCGGGCCAGTTAGTCTAAGTTACACTTAATTACAATAGTCTTTAGTGTAACTTTTGAGTGTTGATTTTGAAAATAATGTTCATATAGTACCTTTCACTAAAGGTTTTTTGGTACATTAAAACAGTATTCGTTTAAATTCGTATAATTCAAACAGAGTTCTCGTTAACCACTATCAGTCTTTACTTTGTTAAACATATCAGTTTTTAGGAAAAATTACAATAATTTATTATTTCAACGAATCATTATCATAATAACTGTGTTGTGATTTATATTACTACGAATGAAGTTTTGTAGCTTTATTAGCTAAGATTTGACGTAATTAAAATAAGCAAATAGTGTATGTGAATAGCTTAGTAACAATTTAAGCTCTGTTTAAATATTAACTATAGTTTTATGGCGAATTAAGTCCACGATGATTATTCCTGTTTCTGGCTAAAAATAATCCAAATCTATATTTGCCATTGATGCTTCGTATCGCATTTTAGTTGAGAGTTAGTGGATATTGGGCTGTAGTAACACTTTGCTTCGCCATAATTTCACATTACCACAAAAAATATCTTTATTTGAATAAAATAGATGAGTTACGAGATTATTTTTTGTTTATAGGATCATTGGCTGAAACTATAACTGACGCGGAGTGCATACCTTATGAAGATATACCCAATTTCCCCGTCAGCACTGTTGAGGGACACCATGGGAAACTAGTGTTCGGGAGACTGGATGGCATTCCAGTAGTAGCGATGCAAGGACGCTTTCACTATTACGAAGGATATCCGTTATGGAAAGTAAGTTGTTCAGATTGCTTTTAATTGAGCTTCAAAGATTCCTTTTTTATATTTTAAATATCGAACCTTTGAATTCCATGGGATTAAAAGAAAATATTGCACCTAATCGCTAAAAACAATTGTGAGTTAGAAATTAATTGACTCTAATTAAAATACATTATATAATCGGTATTTTGCAATGACGACATTTCCGGAATATTTTTGTTATCGTCACTGTAGTAAACATTAGATTATATTTCTATCATCGGTTCATTAACAATGGAAACATTGCTTAGGAATTTTTCTTGGCTATGATAAAGCCGTCGTTCACCGTTGGAATTATCTAGATTGGCTGATGCAAGGCGTTCTCGACCCCCAGTGGAAGGTTATCTGCAGTCGCGGGCATCACAATAAAGGGGTAAACGCGTTAAGATAAACGTTCGTAAATACGTCGCATTGATAGTAGGACTTGTTGTTAAACATTTGTAAGTCGAAGTTTACTTTAAGACATCAATAATTTATTATTGATAGATCACTTTATAGTATGTAATGAATTTGACGATGTAACGGTGTTTTTAAGAAAGCCGTGTGCAAATCTTTGAACGCTACTAAACTATGAAAAATACTATACTTTATTTTGTATCCCAGTATTTCATTCATTATTTGAGTCTATTATGACAGTACGGTTAGCCAACGTATACAGCAAAGAGTATATAAAATTCACAGTAAACTATACAGCATAGTCATCTTCGCTATAATTGTAACCTTTGAAATGCCTTATTATGTTATGCGTAGGAAAGACATTACACTCACGTATGTTACTCGTTATTTCTTTAACGCATAACTTCATGAAATGTCATGTAATTATAGTCGTCAATAGTTACTAAGCTAAGGTTGTCTTGTTTCCATTAACTTTGTTTTGATTAATAGGTGACAAGAATCCTGTTTGTTCTTATATGTTCGATAACCTTTAATCATTTCCTGTTTTTCCTGTCCACAGTGCTGCCTACCGGTTAGAGTTATGAAGCTTATTGGGGTGAAGACACTTATCGCCACTAACGCTGCGGGCGGTCTGAACCCTAATTATAAGATTGGCGATTTGATGATAATGAAGGATCACATTAATATGATGGGTTTCGCTGGCAACAATCCCTTACTCGGACCAAATGACGAGAGATTCGGACCCCGATTTATACCGATGAACAAAGCTTATAATTATGAATACAGACAAATTGCTAAACAGGTAAATATGAAGAAACAATTTATATTCTAGCAGGGTTTTAAGTAAATTAGTTTTCCTGATTGCAAGAAAGGCTCTTGTAAAATGTATGACATCGCTAGTTCCACAGAAATGGCTTTTAATTATTTAATTAGCGGAGTAAATATATTTGTTATTTTATTATAATATGACGCAATCACAACGACATTTTACAATCACTTTTATTTGTAAGATTTCATTTATTTCTTCATGTTTTCTATTTACATTTAATTCAATTGTATGGCGATAAATACGTTGTAGTCTATTTTTGTCAATTGTTTACAGTTTTTTTTAACAAATTACAGTTTACTAACGGAGACCTTCACTATTAATATAACACTATTTTTATATAGTTCTGAGAAAGGAATGGAGCTTGCAATGTACAGTAAAGCCAAGGCTAAGACCTAACTTGTAAAAAATAGCACTAAACATTCATTTCGACCTTCATATACCCGACAAATTGTCGATTAATTGATGGTCGAAAGGATTAAAAAAAAAAACAAATTTGTGCCAGTCGTATTTTTATTCGAACAGATATTCTCATTTAATCTGTTGTAATATGAACACAGGGTTACGAATGTCTCGTAATAAAAATGTGATTAAACATATCCATGATTAAGAAAGAACAAGAACTAATAATATATGAAGATGTATTTGTTAAAGAGATTTATTAATTAAGTCCGGTTTCTGATATTAGCGATTATTATTTTTTCAATTAAATTTATAAATCCGTGCAGTTAATTTCAAAGCAAACAAGTAAATTAGATATGTATTGATCTCCTTAATCCGATTTTATTAAATTTAATTAGTTATGTTAATATATTACATTACCATAACCGAAGGTGAAGGTTATCTGAGGTCGTAAGAGATTCAAATCGTACTGGGTTGAGAAGCGTGTACGTTTAAAAATATTATGCTAAAGAATATTCGAGCAGCCAAATACGCAAATACAGTTGCTTTAAAAAACGTTAACATTAAACTTTTGTCACGATAATTTCCGCAGAAGGGATTTTGGATTATTTCTAAAATATTTCAGCAAAAGAAATCTATTGAATTATTTTAGTAAGTCATATGATAAGTATGACATATTTGTTATTTAAACAAGGATTAACTAGATGCCAAAAGTTTTGAAATAATTCTCCCTTAATTTTTGTGTCCTATTCTAAGGATACACACTTGCACACTTGCACACTTGCAAGCACATTTAGATTGACTGTATTTTTTCTTTTTAGTTGGCCAAAGAACTAAACATAGAGAATTTAGTAAGAGAGGGAGTGTACACTTGCCTCGGGGGACCTAATTTCGAGACGGTCGCAGAACTAAACATGTTGAAGATGGTTGGAGTTGACGCTGTGGGTATGTCGACTGTACACGAGGTAAGTTCTTTTTGTAATGGAAATAGTCCGTAAAAACGTTATGTTAGAAATATATAGACGGATTCAGCGCAAGTTCCGAAGACACGCGCGCTACTGCGCCTGAGTGCTTGCTGTGTGACGCTATAAGATTCTATGCTCAGTTTGAAACAATTAATTTATATTCTTTACAACTTTTTCACAAGTTTTTTTTCTGTGAGTCACGTAAACGTATTTATTCCAGGTAATTATTGCGAGACATTGCGACATGAAAGTATTCGCTCTGTCTTTAATAACCAACGAGTGTGTGACGCGCTACGACCAGGACGATGAGGCGAACCACGAAGAGGTTTTGGACGTGGGTAGAATGAGGCAGGACATCCTACGCAAATACGTCACCAGACTAGTTGCTAAGTTCGCTGAAGTAGAAAACTATTAGTAACCAGCTTAAATATACGTATACATATTTAAAAATATAATAATTTACACGAAACACTGAAAAAAAATTGCCAAATTCCAAATTTTGTTAATAATTTACAGAATTTATTTGTTTTCCATGTTAGGTTAATTTTTGATAGAAAATTTTGTAGCGTTATATCTTGCCATTGTATTTAAGAGTGATGTTTAGCAGATTGTCTGTACCCAGTAATCTCATAATCATAGATAAGATATAGTAATTTTTATAATTATCTAAGCTATAATTGTTTAATTCTGCATGAACACATTATAAGTTATTTAGAAATTAAATTTTATTTATTTCAACATATTTTATATTATTTTTCTGTACCAAATTAAAGAAATAAATAAAATGTATAATATATTATATCCCTTTCATGCGAATTTATTGTAATTACATATAATACATATACATATGTAAATATTTAGTTTAAATACTAGAGTTTAGGTATGCTAAGCATTTCTATGATCGTCTGTAATATATTACTTTTTGTATTATATAAATAAAAAATGTACAAAATAGATTTATTATTTTATTTCACGCTCATAGAAAGCAGAATATCCGAACAGTGAATTTTTATATTTATATATTATTACTCTTTTATTTTTCTAATGAAAATTGTACCTTTTTAAATATATTTTTAGTTTTTATAATAATGGAAGTGAAGATATAGTTCAATAAAATCAAAATGTACTCATTAACAAAATTTATTTACGAATTAATTGAAATAATGCATTTGTTTTGCCAATTTACTTGAATATAAAATAAGTCTTTAGACGAAGACAACGCGACTTCAAACAAAAACATTCATGCTGTAATCATGTACGTTATGTAGATTACATTGACTAAAATAGGGACCACATCAATTGTAAATATGATTTTAAAAATAATCTCACTAATTCACAGTTCAAATTATAATATTGACGCAAAAAAATCTTGTTAAAAATATCACTAATGTAATTATTTGACTTCATTTACTTATTAAATTTAGTATAAACCAATGTTTTAAGTGTAAATAACTTTCATTATTATCAACAGTTGCCTTGTCACTTTTATATGAAGATTTAAATTCCTCTTTACTTCCTAGGCAACAGATATGCACATTCTTTGCAAGCATCATCAATATTAGCATATTTATATTTAAATCCATATTCAAGAACTCTCTTAGGTACTACATACTGGCCCTTGGTTACAATCATGGCTCTCTCCGGGTGAAGCATGTAGTTCAGCACAAATTCTGGAACTGGCAGAAATGCTGGTCTGCTCAATGCTTTTGCAAAAGACTGGAATAAAAAGTAATAAATGTCTATAGTATGTAAGATCTTGTATACAACGAAAGTTAAAATCAAAAATCTATAAGATAGTGTTGGCTATCTACTAGGCTCACTATTAGTTCAACTGTATGGTACCTAGTATAAGCTAGAACAGTTAATTGTGGTAGCAAAAAGTTTTTCAGAAACCTATTAACATTTATTTAAAATGAAGTCCTGCCTTCTGCTTCTTTTATGACCTCAAATTTAAAACTAACAAAGTATCAAAAAGTTTTGGTATGTATTTTTTAGAAAAATCTAAATGTAGATTTTGGATAGTTATTGTTAAAAAGTATTTTTGTAAGGCATATGTACCTGAGTAAATTGTTCATTAGTAACAACTTGTGGAGCAACACCATTCAAAATTCCTTTGACTTGTTCATTTTCTATAGAATACTTTATAAGTGCTGTCAGATCGTCAATATGGATCCATGGCAAATATTGCTTGCCTGAACCCAGTCTGCCACCGAGGCCAAAGAAAAACGGTACAATCATATTCTTAATCATTCCACCATTTCGACCGATTACTGCACCAGAACGGATTATAACCTTGAACAATAATATCAAACTGATGTAATTAAGTTTATTGCATTAAAGGAAAAAAGAAGTTTATTGCATAATAAATGATATTATTTCAATCTATAAAGTGTTGCCTTCTGCATAAAAATGTGCTCAATTATCTAGTTATTAAATCTACAGTAACTTTTATCAATGCTTTAAACCTATAAATAACATTTGCTTAAGCATTTGGCAACAAATTATGGTCTCTCCTTAATTAGCTCTTGAAATTTCAAGAGCTATTAAATTAATCATTGCTTTTAAAATTATTGATATTAACTTACCAATCTAACAGGTGGATCTACATAGGCTGCCTTTTCCCATTCCACTAAGAGTTTAGAAAAGAAATCAGTTCCAGTTGTGGGACTGTTTTCATCATATTTTATTGTCTCTGATGGTTCATAGGCTCCCACTCCGGTAACCAAAACAAAAACCTTTGGTTTCTTATTGGTTTGATTTATAGCCTTTGCTAATGACTTGGTTGTATAAACTCGTGAATTTTGAACATTTTGTTTAAATCTGTAATTATTACATAAACTTTACTCATAGAGTAGTTACTATTTAACTGTGAATAATATATTATTCCACTAGAAAATATTAGAACATTAATTATTGTTTACATGCAATAACTTGGAATGCAAACCACAATTAAAAATAATAAGCCATGATACTTTTTTTTTAAATACCAGACATTTACTTCCTACTTTAGTAATGTATAGTATTTTTAGCATTAAAAAAGTTTTCTAAGATATGTAGCAAAATATAACAGCCAGCAAATATCGCAAACTATTCTAATTAGATTGAATATCTCATGTTTTAAATACCATACCCAGGGGTCCAACTCTTTTTAAAATCCATAAACTGTTGTCCTGCACAGTTAACTACTGCGGTTGTACATTCTGGCAATCCTGATTTCTCCAAAGTCGACCAAGATATGTTATTGGCGGCGGGCATCCGTGATACATTTACTACATTATAACCATTCGACGTTAGCAATTTGTTTAAATTTTGACCTATGAAACCAGTACCACCACCTGCACAAAGAATGACTTATTACAACAGATTTTAAATATATTTTAAAATACTTTTACTCCAAAGTTCATTAAAATAAGTCGTTTACTTTCTACTTAATTAAATAACATACCGATTAAAACCTTTTTAATTAACATGATAGTGTTATGTAATAATGTTATTAATAGGAGAAAATTATGCTGTAAAAGAGTTTTTAATATTTTTCTATTAGTTTTATTCCATATTCCAAATAATATATTATTCTTTTATTGTATTAAATTATTTCAAGGATAACAAACAACAATATAACACCGCACTCAGCTGACAGCTGATTTTGACTAATGTTCTGACATTGACATTTTGACTTTGATTTTTTTAATAGCAGGATGGGGTATGGGCAGAATTTCAAAGAAAGAAAATACATAAGAGATTTTATAATTCAGGATATTTTACCTCCTTGTTTTAGTACAAGAGTAAGATTGAGCTTATTACATATTTCTCAAAATACATGAACGTGTATCAGCTTATTGAAATTGCATCGAGCAATTAGATTCTAAAAGAGGTTATTTTTTACCCCTTAAAGTTAGCTCACCTTATGTGGTGCATGAACATTTTCCAAATATGACCTAAAGGTCTATGTTACCAGGTCATAAAATTAAAAAAAAAGTGGTGTCAGTCATGTTAATATCACTGTCATCCTGTCAACTGTCAGTGTCACATGCTTATTTATTGGATTTCTATATTTCTCAACCGCAATTATTTATTTGTTTGTTAATTATTAAAAGTAATTTGTACAAATGCTATGTAATTTATAAAAATCATATTTTAATTAAATATGGAAATAATGTTAGCATTTGCTTGTTCTTTTTATATTTAATGTAAAACAATAAGTAATTAAGAAAACTTCTTTTTAATTTAAGTAAATGTATATATTAATTATAGGATTTAAATAATTGTTATGTCTTTCAAAGATGGTACCATTATATGTAAAAACTGGTGTGGCATATGTATGGAATGCTGAAGGTTTGTTTTAATATGATTATTTGAAAGCTATTCACTTCCAACAATCTCATACATACTTTTTAAATATATTTTATAGATTGGCTAACACTCCGTACAAAATATCGTATGAGTGGAGCTCTGATAGGCACAGTTCCTTCATTTCCTAGACAAAATGATTTTCAAGGTTTGGCAATAAAATATTTTTTGAATGAAACATTACAAAATTTGTAATATTGCAACAGATTAAGTGTGATATATTAATTAATTTTGCAGGACTACCTTTGGCTCTTATGTCTGAAGAATCAGCATTATTAGTCGAGATGGGTATTTGTGAATTACATATTGCAAAAAATTTAAATGATAGTCCTGGAGAAGAAGAAAAACTTAACATAGAAACTTTAGAACAAAAGTATAAAATATAAAATAGTTACTTCACTTGTTTGTAAGTTGTCAAGTTTTTAAATATAATAAAAATACTTTAATTAATTTTTAGGATAATAGAAGAGCAAAATGAGGCATTTAAGAAGAAAAAAATTGAACAATTATCACAAAAAATTGACATTATTCTAGCAGGAAAGAAACAAAAGTTACTGCAAAAAGGACTTTCTGGTATGTGTTATTAAATACCTTTTCTGAATGATTAAGCTTTCTCTTGATTGATAATTCTTGATGGCATATTAACTAAAATGCTTACACTTAACACATAAAAAAGTAATCTCTTTTCTTATTACAGATGTGCACTTAGACAAAGAAACATTATTACAAGAAGAAATTAATAAGTTTCCTAGTTTGACAGCATCACAAGCATTGGTGCATTTACCTACAGAACATTCAAGAGAATTAGGTAATTATGTGCTGCATCTGAAGCTGTTCAACTTTTATTCAAATCTTTTTGTTCAATTTTTTTTATTTACTGATAAATTATGCAGTTACAGAAACAGTGTCAATAGATTTCTTGCAACCCAGTGTAGTGGATAGAGAGGGTAGCATCCGTTATAACATATTCAAGGATCTATGGTTAAAAGGGCATTACATTACAAATGGGTCTAAATTTGGATGTGACTATTTAATATATCCAGGTATTTACATCTGATGCTTTTCTTATTCTGTTTATAAAACCTACTGCATGTTCATTTATGATAATTAACATAGAAAATGATTCCATTTGTCAACAATTCACCTAATAGTAAAGTAGTAGTAAAGTAATGATAGAATTTTTGTATCAAACAGTAAAACAAAGAAAATAAAAGCATAAGATAAAGGAGCTATTAAGCCTTGTGAGGGTTAAGAAGTAGTTTCTGAATAAATACATTTTACTTTTTTGCAGGAGACCCCGTGCGATTTCATGCCACTTACATGGTCCGATGTGTATATGACACAATAGCTCCATTCCGACCAACGAACTTGGTGGCTTTTGGTCGTCTATCTGTAGCTGTTAATAAATTAGCTATATTAGCTTTCGCCAATAGTTTTGGAAAGATCGAGTATCAAACACTTCAATGGCACGACAATATAAATTGATAAAAAATTTACAGTTGTTTCATTTTTATACAAATTTTATAGTAATCCTTATTCAAATTCTTTCACAACATTAATTTAATTGTAAAAATGAAATAAACAGTTCAGAGAAGCCGCAAATGAGCATGGTTCATGGTCGGTCCGCAATAATATCCTCTGATATACTCAATATTACAAGTATGGCAGATGTGCAAAATGAAATTCAACAATTGAAAAAACTCTCATCATATTTTGGGAAATCATGTATTTTACAATTATTTATTATTAATAATCTGCCCCATAAAAGCTCGATTATATTTAACTTGCAACACCCGTCAATTTAATTGTCAATGTCAAAACTTGAATCATAGCATCTCCAGTTTCAATAATCTTGAATTTATTTTTATAAAGGGATTAATTGAAATATTTCGCTATGGATGATCCTGAACTTGAAAGAATTCGCCAGCAACGTCTTGCCCAATTGCAAGCACAACATGGGGTATGTTTTATTGTTTTAGGTTATGTATTAAAATGTTTGGTCGCTTTAAGACCGCAGGGAGACTATATATAAATACTTAATTATGTAAATTATTTTTAAGGGCACAGGAGATCCTAATCAAGCTAAAGCTCAAGAAGAAAAGATGAGAGCTATGGAAGATGCAAAACATTCTATTTTGGCCCAAGTGCTGAGTCAAGACGCGAGAGCCAGATGTAAATAAAACTTTATTTTTAACCAGTTTTTATGAAAATTTACATTATCAAACTTCATTTTCTTTTTCCAGTGAACACAATAAAGCTTAGTAAGCCGGAAAAAGGTACTATGGTTGAAAATATGATTTGCAGAATGGCACAAGTTGGACAAGTAAGCGGTAAAATATCTGAAAATGAACTAATTGAGTTGCTACAATCTGTTAATCAACAAATGCCGAAGACAACAAGCACTGTCAAGTTTGACCGCCGTAGAGCTGCTCTTGATTCTGACGATGATGATTTTTAGCAAATGGAAAGATCTTATTTTTATATAAAGCTTTTAGCTGCCTTTGCATGTAACTCAGAAATTATCTTGTATTTTTTAAAGCTAATGGTGTCTGATTAGTTTAAGAAAGCATTAAAATGACAGTCTAATGTATTTCTTTGTTTAAATTTTGTAACATAATTTGATGGAATATTTGGTACAAAGTTCATTTTTACATTTACATTCACTGATTACATTCAAGTTTTTGTTTTCAATGAATAGACTTGTATTCTTCTTATTCAAGCTTTTCACAAGCAATTTGTAACTCATGTACTTTACATTACACTTAACTAAACATATTTTACAAATAAATTAATGTCCTTTATCTTATTTATCAATTTTACCTGCAACAAAAAATTGCCTTAAAAAACTAGCAAACCTTAATTAAAGCATTCATTAAAGTTGTAATTTGATTGTAGCAAACAGTGGTGGATATCAGCTCTTTTAGGGTGGTTTTAATAAAGTAAAAACTTAACCACATTAATAATAAGGTACATACAAATAATATGTAGTGATGTAATGATGACTGACTAAAATGTTTAGATTTAATATTTCATATAGCATTTCTGGAACAGGTAACTACAACTGGCTATGTCGATTTTCCCACTTTACCCCCAATTACATAAATGAGAAACTCGGGTTAGAGTAACCTTAATAAGCGAGACATCGCGATCCCTTGGACTCTCACTTTCGCAAGTTCGACTGTATATCTAATAACGATTCAGACTTTAAAAGGATTAGATAATAATACCAATTGGCAATGATAAAGTATTTCGTGAACAGATTTTTTGTGGTTCGTATTTAAAATCGTTTAAAATATTTATTAAATTTCATATACTTCAATATTTTTGATAATATCGACATTGGTGATGATCGATGGTCTATTGCTATCGCGTTATATCTGCACGGCAAATGTTATAAAAGGTCTAATGATCTTTCGGAGTAACAAGTGTTAATGACGAAATGGCGCGAACGACACTGATTGTGCTGTTTGCGGGATTCGCTGTTGTCTCAGCGGGCTACGCTGGTGTTATTGAAGACCTAGTTAATAGTGATATCATCAAGCCTCGGTTTTCAGACAATGTATTAGAGGATGCTAACTTAGACGTTGTAAGTAAAATGATTTTTTTTATAATGTCCATCGATTCAAAGAGATTACATGGGTTATGATCACCAATGTGAATATAGAAATTGCTTTGTTAAACACGATATAAACCTGCGATTTGAGTCTGTTATGTTATACAGAAGACTAGCATTGCCTAATATGTATGCTCTGTTTTTTATATCCATTTTTATAGTATTTCTATCACAATTGCAGTAATTCATTTTAACGTCATTTTCTTGTACAACTCTTCCAAACTAGAGGTTTAGACGGAAATACCCAAATAAAAAAACCCCTTCGACGTTACTATGTAATAAGCTTTTAGCAACAGTTATCTATTTAATTCTTCGTAAGCTGTACGCAACAGTTTATCTATAATAGATGTTATTGTAAAACGTGATTTGCTGAGGAAATTAATCTTTATATTTCCCTTTAAGCCGGAACTGGTTCGGAAATACAGATATCCGTTGGAAGTGCACGAGGTGACGACTTCAGATGGATATATTCTTCGGATGCACCGCATTCCGCACGGCAGGGACCAGAACAATGCCCCTGGTGTGAAGCGACCTATAGTGTTTTTAATGCACGGGTTACTATGCTCGTCAGCCGATTGGGTTATTATGGGCCCTGGCAATGGTTTTGGTACGATAAAAGAATTTCCTTCTGAGTTATTTTTAGCGTTATTTGATTATTAACATGTTAATTATTTTGCAGCATACATTCTCGCCGAAAATGGATTCGATGTATGGATGGGCAATGCTCGCGGTAATTACTATTCGCGAAGACACGTTCGTTTGAATCCCAACTCAATACTTAGCAACGCTTTCTGGGAATTCTCCTGGGATGAAATAGGAAATATAGATTTACCAACCATGATAGATTATACACTTAAGTACACAAGGCAAGAAAAACTCCATTACATTGGTCATTCACAAGGCACAACATCGTTCTTTGTTATGGCGTCACTTCGTCCTGAGTACAACAATAAGATAATTTCGATGCATGCGTTTGCTCCTGTTGCATACATGGCACATAATAAGAGTCTTCTATTAAACATTTTAGCACGTTATGTCAACGATATAGAGGTAAATATTCAATAGTTTAAAATAATTACGATATCTACGAGTTCTATTTTATGGAATGTCATAACACTTAGCTACTAATGGGAAGTTTGGAGGTTAATGAATTTTAAAATTAACGCACTTTAAAGAAGAACATAAGTGTAAACATAACATAATAATTAATGTTGATGAATATTGTGTAGCACACAAATGCACACGTAACCGAAAAATCTATTTAGCAAAGTGAAGATAAGCTTTAAATATTAAATACATTTGAAAAAAAACCCTAAATATAATTTTATATGTAATGACGTACGTATATTTTAGGAACTTGCGAGCCGTTTTGGAATTGGTGAATTCATGCCTAACAACCAGATAATGACATGGGCTGGAGAGTCGATGTGCAGGGATCAGGTCGTTACCCAGGCTATTTGCAGCAATATATTGTTCCTAATCGGTGGATGGAATGAGGATCAACATAATGCGGTGAGAAACGGCGCCTTCTAAGTAAATTTTGAAAATCTTTTTTTTTTATTTATTATTTCATGTTTATTTTTTTATGTCCACAGACAATGATGCCAGCGATATTTGGTCACACTCCCGCTGGTGCCGCTGTAAGACAATTCGCTCACTACGGTCAAAGTATTGCTGGCAAAGAATTCCGTCGCTACGACCATGGCTTGTTGAGGAATATGATTGTATACGGCAATATGAGACCACCAAAATATAATCTAGCGAATGTTAGAGTACCCACCTTTTTGCACTACTCCAACAATGATCCTTTATCTCAAGTTAGAGATGTTTATCGTCTGCATCAAGAGCTAGGTGAAGGAATCAAGATGTTGTTACCATTGCCCTCATTTACTCATTTAGATTACATGTGGGGGATAGATGCGAAGACTGTATTGTACGACAGAGTAATAGCTTTGATGAAATCCATCGGATAGACGTAATCGTAAAATGAAAAATAAAGTCAAGTAAAAATACATAAACTCTTAATACAATAAAGTTTAACAATTTTTATTAAAAACATTTTGTTTATTTTTGTTCATACTTTCTAGACTAATCTAGTTAATAATGTTCACACGTCAAAGTAAGTTTGTATGCGTTGGATGCTTTTAAATTGTATTTCACAAACGCCTCGAGATATAAAGTTTTCCGTATATACGAAATGCCGGTTATTTGACACCGTATACTTGTTAAAGTCAGAACTTAAGACAATAATTGAATAATTTTGCACTGATGTCTCACTAAATCTTAATAGAGTGATATAAATTAAGTATTAAATAAAGTCTTCTACTTTTTTAAAATCAACGATTACAATAGTTAACTTGAAATATAAATAAACATCTTGATAACGACATACCTCACATACTGGACAAACACAAAACAACAAAAAACAGTGCTGTCTATATATGCCCGAAATAAGCAAAACTTTACTGTATAAAGCGTATAAAGTAAGAGTAAATATTATGAAAAATATGTTGGCACAAAGTATCATCTAACGCTGGTCGTGTACAGAGGTACTGTGGGCGGGGCGCGGGATACGAGAAGTAATAGAATAATAGAATAGCGTCCCATGACTACGAAGCTACTCTTTGATGCCTACATTCAATGTACAAGCGCCATATGCAAACTATAAAACGAGCAGTTACGCAAAGTGGCTACGGAGCAAACCTCAATCTGTTCAACTGCTACGACGCACCCCTTCCCTACGAAACATTCCCATCACGGAGATTTCTATACAAATCTATGTCCATCCATCGCTTAAATCGAGCCTCAATATAAGTTGTACCTCAACACTATTTGCACCTCCAATACATATCACTAATCGTTACCCGTGGTACCAGTTGGTTACTGCAGTAAATCTGATGTTTTTTACGGATTCAGTGTCCGCGTAGCCGCGTAACGCGGTAACGAGTACCGGTAGTAAATCTGACGTATTCAAGGATTGATTGACCTGACCATATAAAAGCTACGCTTCAAATGTATTCCTTTGTAATTTTTCTGCAACTTAAAAATATAAATTTATATTAAAATTTTTACAAACACCTGAATTTGATTTCAACTAAAGTTAAGCGTCTTAAGATTTAATAATTTCATTAAAATAAGATAATGAAACGAATTTGCGATAATGACCAAATCAATAAATACACTTTATTCTATTTGGCAAAAATAAACATTGAGCATTTGTATTAAGGTACAATTCAATGTCATTTTTAATCTTCTAGTATTGACGACCGTAACTGATGGTAAAGATTGGCTATCATGAATGATGTACTCTTATATATAAGACCTGATTCGTCTTCTTTAATTTAATTACTTTCCGATATGTGGCAAAGAAAACTAATTGTGTTTTTCTTCGGGGTGTCTCTGGCGTCAGCTGGGACGGCACCAAACGCCGAATACATTGAGGAATTAGTCCAAAGTGATAGTTTTGGTCCACGATTTTCGGATAATTTAATAGAGGATGCCATATTGGATGTCGTAAGTTCTTTTTATTTGATTGTTTTGGATTCAGTGTTAACGTTTTGCTTTTCTCCACTGGCTGTTCAAGAAAAGCATAAGTGCACTCTGTTATCACAAGAAAATGTAGTCAGTATTTATAATTTGATTTCATGCTTATTGGTTTAGTTTCTGAATGTTTACGCTTTCTAATATTAAGATTTAAAAATGGAATATCTCTAAACTTACTAGCCAGGACTTGTTCGAAAATACAATTATCCATTGGAAGTTCATGAGGTGAGAACTCCAGATGGATACATTCTACGCATGCACCGCATACCACACGGCAGAGATCAGAACAATGTGCCCGGGGTGAAGAAACCTGTAGTATTCTTAATGCATGGATTGCTTAGTTCCTCAGCTGATTGGATTGTTATGGGGCCTGGCAGTGCCTTTGGTAACTATCCTTATGGTATTGTTCGAAATCATTATTAGTACGAGCACGATCTTGACATTTAAATGTATTTAAAACCAAATAAAAAATAGTTTTCAGGCGAACTTAACTTAGGATCAGTTCGCTAGTTTGGGAAAAATTCAAATATTGGAAATCAAAGTAATCTATATTATTTTTTTGTTATAATGATTAATCAAAAAAGGTAAAAATGTAATATGTAGTGTAGTTACATATTCTTAAATGACTTTGTGGTTAACCGATCTGTTTTTTGAAGGTTACCTTCTTGCTGAAAAAGGATTCGATGTATGGATGGGCAACGCACGCGGTAACTACTATTCGCGTAGGCATGTTCGTTTGAATCCCAACTCAATACTGAGCAACGCTTTCTGGGAATTCTCTTGGGATGAGATCGGAAATATAGATTTACCAACGATGATAAATTATGCTTTAAATCACACTGGACAGAAAAAACTTCATTATGTTGGACATTCTCAAGGCACGACTGCATTCTTCGTCATGGGATCACTCAAACCTGAGTTTAATAACAAAATATTATCTATGCATGCTTTTGGTCCTGTTGCGTACATGGCTCACAATAGGAGTCCTTTGTTGAACGCTATTTCACCATTTGCTAACAGGATCGAGGTAAGAAATTGTGACGAAGAAGTCCAAACGTTGATGGTTTTCTTTAATGATGCCTATATTTTAGGAACTTGCGTCTCTCATTGGTATAGGTGAATTTATGCCAAATAATTTGATAATGACTTGGGCCGGCCAAGCTTTGTGCAGAGATGAAGTGGTGACGCAGGCGATATGTAGTAACATACTGTTTTTGATAGGAGGATGGAACGAAGCACAACACAATGCTGTAAGTAGCCCAAGAATTATTCGAGATATTTTCTTGACCATTTTGTATTTAGATTGAACTTTCTTCAGAGTAGGTTAAGGTAAAATCTGTAAAAACCTCAAGTCACCTCAAGTTCCACTTGGATCCGGCATTCCTTTGCAGATAGTATAATATATATACACACATGCTTCAATCTCATTCAATCTCAATCAGAAGAAAAGTTCGCTTCAATATAAGACTCTATATTTACCATGTATTCATTTCTGTTGATAGACAATGTTACCGGTAATATTAGGCCACGCCCCTGCCGGTGCTGCGGTAAGACAGTTCGCTCACTACGGTCAAAGTATCGCTGGTAAAGAGTTCCGGCGCTACGACCACGGCTGGATGAATAATTTGCGAATTTACGGCAATTTGATGCCACCGAAATATGATTTGGGAAATATTAAGATTCCCGTATTCTTGCACTACACCTACAATGATCCCTTGTCTCAAGTTGAAGATGTTGATCGTCTTCATAAGGAACTGGGAGCGAGTACTAAGATGCTTGTACCTCTACCTTTATTTAATCATTTAGATTTTATATGGGGAATAGATGCAAAAGAATTGTTGTTTGACAAAGTTATAAAAATTATGCGATCTATTAATGTATAATTTTAATGTGAAATTATAAAGAATTTAAGAGTTGTTTTTCTGAACAATTGAATTAAATAAAATATATTAAATCCAAGTACTAAACAGTTTTATTTCTAAACCGAGTTTATGAAGTTCATATACGCCATACTGTTTATGAACAAACTTTTCATCATTCTAGAAGCTTGGAGAAGTCCACAAAGTCATGATCTTTTAATAGTGTTATTGTTCTCGACTACTTTTTTTATCATTTCATCGAATATTATTGTATTACATTCCTAGTTTTAATTGTTTTTGAACGCTATTGGTAGAAAAATTATCTGATATCGTAGATAGACGTATCTATGTTAGCGGTCGTTGAATAGTTATGACAAAAACAAGTAGCAAATACCTAATTGATTTGGTATTGATAAGATTTAAAGGTTAGATAGCGGAAATTATATCAGTTAATGACGTCTATTTTCTTTAAATCACAGGCAGCCTTTTTGGTTCGTGTATAATAATGTCTAAAATACAGGACAATTTGTCAGTCTGTTTTCTCAGCTTAACTGGTGTCTAGAAATAACCTAATCAACATCTAAGGTTGGCGACAGGCAGGCCGGCCATAAAAATTTAACCGAAATATTAAGGTTTTTACAACCTTGCGCGTAGATTCCACGTGAGCGCTATAAGGCCAGGGAGACGACGATGATGGCCTTGAGAAGGAAAAGATTGATAACCAAAGAGCTCTGTTCTTGATATGAAACTGCAGTTTATATCTCGAAGTTTCAGTACAAAGTTTCACCTAATCCAGAATAAAACTGCAAATACTTGACACTAGCTCAATCCGCAATAAAAATCAATTGAATTAATTTGAATCTCGAAGAGAAAATGTAAAAAAATCCTTTTTTGTAATGGAAATGTTTCGTTCTGATTGTTTACGTTCTGTCTCTAATACAAAAAGAACGTACATAAGTAATCAGAACCTTGAACCATTTCAATTTCAAGGGCATAACCGAACCTGTTGCACCTTAACACTGATCTTGCATTTTACATTGTGATATAATTACGGATATATTATCATACTTATGTTATTTAATAAACAAAATATTAAACCCGGAAAAAACAAAGGATTTATTTTGCTTTATTTTTCCGGGTGCTTAAATGTATTTTAAATACGGTTCATTATTTAATTTTAGTATAATAGATAAGATTTGTGGAATTGCTCGATATCTTAATACAAAAGAATATAAAACATTGGTAAGTTTTTAACTCTTAATTGTTTATTCGGCTACCGCCATGTCCGGTAGGATATTATTGTTATTGGTTGCTGGAGTTACTATAGTGTCCGGAAGATCACCGCAATCTGACTACATTGATGATCTAGTCAGGACTGAGAGGTACAGTCAACGATTTTCAAACAATGTAAAGGAAGATGCTAAATTGGACGTAGTAAGTAAGATTATTAACATTTTTATTTATAATAAAAGCACCTTATATGAATAATAGAAATTAATAAGTAAAGAAGTAGAAGACGACAGCGCCATATTAACTCCTGTTTTGTGAACGGAAGTCTATTCTGTCAACTCTAGCGAGATTACTTAAATATGAAAGTAGAAAGCATTTTTAAATCTCAAGTTGTATACTTCAACAACTGTAACCGTTGATAATGTGTTAAAATAATTCTTCCATTTTTAGCCCGAGCTTATTAAAAAATACAAATATCCATTGGAAGTGCATGAGGTGACGACTCCAGATGGATACATTCTGCAGATGCATCGCATTCCGCACGGCAGGGTCCAGAACAATGTGCCCGGTACAAAGAGACCCGTTGTGTTTTTGATGCACGGTTTACTTTGTTCTTCAGCTGATTGGATTATATCAGGGCCTGGCAGTGCCTTTGGTAAATATAACTAAAAATATAACTATATTTCCATACATTTTTATCGTAGACTTCTTTCAATATTTCGTGAACCCCGCTAATACATTTCTCTAACTTTAACTTTGTTTCCCGCCATCATACACTCCACCGGGCCTCAAGACCCCAGGACCACTTTGACCATTTTAGGAATGAATAAACTCAACACAAGGTCTATGACCTGAATTCAATATTTTTTGGCTACTCTTAATATTTTTTATCATAGGTTACATTCTCGCCGAAGAGGGATTTGATGTTTGGATGGGCAACGCACGTGGAAATTATTACTCACGCAATCATGTTGAATTGAATCCTGATAATACAGATTTCTGGGATTTTTCTTGGGATGAAATTGGCCATATTGACCTACCAACAATGATAGATCATGCTTTAGCAGAAACAGGAAATGAGAAAATTCATTATGTAGGTCATTCTCAAGGCACGACAGCTTTCTTAGTCTTATGCTCTCTCCGTCCCGAATACAACGACAAAATAATTTCCATGCACGCATTCTCTCCTGTTGCATTTATGGCGCACAATGAAAGTCCTGTATTAAACGCTATAGCTCCGTTTGCTAACAGTATCAAGGTAAATATCGACTAATTTCTGATTATCTCTTAAGTAAAATGATGTAAAATAGTATGCCATTTGATCCACTCGAATTTTATGTGGCTTGGAATTAACAATTCAAAGTATGGCATAGATGTATTTTGATCGAAGTTTAAAGACAACCCATACAGTTGCTAGACCAATAACTATTTGGTGCTTAGTGAAAAGAATATTTGGATGTTATTCCAATGATTATCAGTAAAATTCAACCAACATCAAAATATACAATAAATTATTGTATTTTGTGTATGTTCCACTTTTTTTATTATTTCAGATTCTGGCATCTCTCATCGGCATTGGTGAAATAATGCCAAACTCTATGTTACTAACATGGGCCGGACAGATATTTTGCAAAGATAGCGCCATCACTCAAGAAATCTGTAGCAATATATTGTTCGCTGTTGGGGGATGGAACGATGCACATCTTAACACTGTAAGTGATTTTATAATATTATTTTACTAACATATTTTTCTTCCACAACTCCTGTTAGATATGAGTTTATATTATATTTCCTATTAGGAATTAGAGAATGAACTAGTTTCTTACTATTCTGTTTTAAATGAACTTAAAAAAATTATAAACTTCTCGAGGTGCCGTTGCATACACAGAGGAAGTTGTACAAGCTACTAATACAAGATGGCGCTCTGTGTTGCCCGATTCAGATTATAATAATTGCCATATCAAACAACAACTAATAAGCCTAATCCATTATTAGTTGGTTTTTTGGTAGTTGACTCAAAGAGTTCAATTCTAAAAACCATTGATTGAACGGATATAAGGTTACTTTAAGATTTTTTTAATAATACTACATTTATTATTGCATTGCAGACAATGATGCCAGTTATATTTGGCCACACTCCTGCCGGTTCGTCAGTTAAACAGTTTGCTCATTACGGCCAAAGTATCGCCACGAAGGAATTCCGTCGTTACAATCATGGCTTTGTGAAGAACTTAAGACTGTACGGCCGTCGAAGTCCGCCTAAATATGATTTGTCTAATATTGTTGTACCCATATTTTTCTATTATTCCGACAACGATCCTTTATCTCAAAGTAAAGACGTTTATCGTTTATATGAAGAATTGGGAAGTGAAAGTAAAGTATTGTTACCTTTGCCATCATTCGGACATTTAGATTACCTTTGGGGTATAGACGTTAAACCATTGTTGTATGATACAGTGGTACAATTGATGGAGGTTTTAGAAGACCAGTAATTTTATAAAACGACTGAAATTTGTATATAAACTATTGCATAACTTAAGACATTAGCATTATTTATTAAATAAATAAAGTGATTTTTTTAAAATTAAAACATGTTTTATTATATTTACGCATTAAGAAGTCACGACTATTTTTGCTTTAGTGATAAATAATGTTTAATAAATCATTCGTGATGTTGACATAAATTGTGAAAATTATTACATGATAGTAGTATACAATTTTGTATAATTTACAAAACGTTAGTTACGCTTGCTTTGTAGAATAATGTGTGAACACAGAGATGATTGTGAAGGGTTAAATAATAATCTAAGCTTATAATAAGAAATTCGTGTAAATCACCATAACTCGGGAAGTTTTTTCTTCACAAATTAAAAGAACATTTTAAGAAACCATAGTTTTTAACGTGATGATTTAAAAGTGATGTAAACAAATCGTGAATCGTGTTTTGAAAGTGATGAAAATTCTTTATTTTAACTACTTACGATTGCTTACTTGGCTACAGAGATGTGCAGTAAATTATTAATGTTGTTTGTGTGCGTGTCTCTTGTATCCGGACGATCCCCTCATGCCGATTATATCGATGAGTTGATTAGAAGTGAGAGCTACAATTATATATTTCCAGACAACACGTTGGAGGATGCGAAGTTAGATGTGGTAAATGATTACATTTATTAAGTCTCTCATCTTTAATTTTCAAATGCTTCTACTAGCAATAACGATTAATGGTGAATTTATTGTCTAGCCTGGTCTCATCCGAAAATATAAATATCCAATGGAAGTACACGAGGTGACAACATCAGATGGATATATTCTGCAAATGCACCGCATTCCGCACGGCCGAGACCAGAACCAAGTTCCCGACCCAAAGCGACCCATAGTTTTTCTGATGCACGGGTTGTTATGTTCTTCAGCTGATTGGGTCATGTCGGGGCCTGGCAGTGCCTTTGGTAATTAAACCATTTTTGTAACGATATGTTACGACAACTATAGATTCACTATTGCCTTTTCGCTATTGATAAGTAGCTAAATCTTAATATTTATTATTTTCTTTTATATTTTTAAGGTTACCTTCTCGCCGAGGAAGGATACGATGTATGGATGGGTAATGCTCGCGGAAATTATTATTCACGAAAACATATTAGTGTGAATCCTGACGATATAGATTTTTGGCAATTTTCCTGGGACGAAATTGGAGATATAGATTTACCAACAATGATAGACTATATCTTAGATCATACGGAACGAGAGAAAATTTACTACGTTGGCCATTCTCAAGGAACGACAGTTTTCTTCGTAATGTGCTCTCTCCACCCTGAGTATAATTATAAGATTAAGGCCATGCATGCGTTCTCTCCCATTGCGTTTATGGCGCATAATGAAAGTCCTTTATTAAAAGCCATGGCCTCGTTTGACAACAGTATGAAGGTAATAACTAATGTGATATTCTAGCACAAAGTAGATGTTCCTAATTGACTAATTATGATTGCTTTTCCCAATTGCTGCTTCAATGTATCTGTTGTTATGATTAACATACCAGATTACGTCCGCTTACGAAGTAGCTGTTGTTACTGCTTCCTTGACTGACACTGTGAGTTAATATTTAAGCAGGCGTCTGTATGGCTTTTTGTTGTTCTTCTACTTCAGATACTGTCGGCTCTTATTGGCGTTGGAGAGGTAATGTCTAATAACTTATTTCTGAAGTGGGCTGGAGAGTCGTTCTGTAAAGATCAAGCTATCACCCAGGCGATCTGTAGCAACATATTGTTTTATATAGGTGGTTGGAGCGATGAACAACTTAACACTGTAAGTACATTGATTTAGAGAGCTTCTCTTGTCAAATAAAATGAGTTTTGGATGTAGTTTTAAAGCTTAAACTATTTGTGTTAAAAAGTTTATTTAAATTTTTAAGTAAATCTGCCGAAGGAATAACGTTGGCCAACAAATGCTTTGGATTTCGTAAATTTTTTTGTTAGTAGTCGCCTACGTAGTAACAGAAACCTTTGTGCAAAATGATAAGTTTCTAGACCCAGTAGTTTTGGGCTATGCGTTGATACTGACTCAGTCAGTTTACGTTTTTGATATAAAGCTTATTAGTATTTCTACATTAGAGCCTAAAAATATTAAAGCAATGTAAACGATACAAGATTCATACTTGAAATATTCCCATTCCAATGGAGTGAATACATTTAATATTAAATTTTGTATCTTTACAGACAATGATGCCAGTATATTTCGGTCACACTCCAGCCGGTTCGTCGGTTAGACAGTTCATACATTACGAACAAGGATTTTTTACTAAAGATTTCCGACGCTATAACCACGGCCCATTGAAGAACATCGTGTTATATGGCACACGACTTCCGCCCAAATACGATTTATCAAACATCTTGGTCCCAGTATTCCTGTATTATTCTAATATTGATCCTTTGGCAGCGGTTCCAGATGTCAATCGTCTTTACAAGGAATTGGGTAGCAAAAGTAAAATGATGATACTTCTACCTTCGTTCAATCATTTTGATTACGTGTGGGGAATTAATGCAAACACGTTATTGTACGATGTTGTTATAAGGTTGATGCGTTTCGTGGACGCTTATGATAATTTCATGCGTAAACCGTATCTCACCGAATATTACAAAATATTAATGGGATAAAAGAACTTTGTGGATAAGTGACGTATTTACGAACAAAATGAACGAAACTTTACTCAGCTACTGCATAGAGTTAATTTATAATAAAAAATATTAATGCTGTCGCATCAAATTACGTTCGGAGTATTTACCATGACAAAGAAAGTGTGCCGCAAGAGAAAATTCAAGGGGTGCAACTTTTTTATTTCGCACTTCCCTGATATTATAAATATTTGACGTTAATTGTTTAAAAAAGGTACTTATCAATATGATTTCGTTATAACCGTGAGTTGTTAAATATAACTGTTATGTTTGTTTTATTATTTTTTTATTGTTTTTTGTTCAGTTTGACCGTTATAATAAAATCGGCAGTAATATTTTTCTTTTTTTATTATTGACTTGTAAAAGAAATTCAATATATTATTGGCATTGTGAATTGAAATTTTTGTATGTACTTTTAGCCATTATTAATTAGAATTCTTTGGCGCGAATGGCGCGCTTTCATTTCAAAGTCAAGTGTCAGAATGATTAGTGAGGGGATATAAACGTCGACATTTTAGTAAGGCTAGTGTTGTGCCACAGTGTCGGATTTTCTTCCTAACACTACTGTATATCAGTTCATTCGTTAATATTATTAAAATTACAATAGCAATCACGTCACAAAATCAATCTTCAATAATAATAAAGCGATTAAAATTATTTGGTCTGATAATACTCAAACATTAGATAATTGTTGATTGTGTCGGTAACCTCATACAATTCACAATATTGATAAAATAAAAATGTGGTATCCCTTTGTTCAATTGCTTTTATTACGCATATAGCGCTGGATGTAAACGATGGTACAGAATTATGTCAGACGTAAATTAAAATAATAGGATGAGACATAAACCTCATAGAAACGCAAAAGTGTGACGTAAGAAGAGGCAGTTACTAAAATTGAAAAAGGTATACGATTACAACATCATCTAAGGATTAATTTAAAATTAATAAAAAGACATATACAAAAAAATTATAAGAAGCAACATAATTGCCAATTACATTAAGATGTACATTAAGATGTAATTGGCAATTATGTTTGATGATGATCATGATCATATAATTTGTAACTTCAATTTGAATCACAAGAAATATGCAGGTAATAAGCAGTAACGAAAATGTTGACGACTTCGGATGTAAGGGTAAATAGAAAATATCTGAGTGCACTGTCTATATATGAGTCTTTACTCTTGATTAAGGTGTGGTAATATGAAGGTATTGAAAGACTGCAAAACATATAGAAAGTAAAAAAGACAAATACACCACACAGATATGCTAAAAACATTGGAAAAATTCGACACATTTAAAATTTTTGCCTTAAATGCTGTATATATAGTTCTGGTAAAATCATCAGAAATCCATTCTGGAATTAAAATAAAAGTCCCTTTATCCTGCCACGACGGCCCTTTTGAATATGAATTTCTGATAAGCTTAATATCGTTCTTGTCTGCGACTTATAAATTCAATTTCAGGTTATGAAATTAATTATAGTCAGTTTTAAAGTGGCTAATAAATTATTTATTTTATAAAAAGCGATTTAGTACAACGTTGGATAATTATTTTGAATTAATATGACAAGTCACTGTACCTCGAAAATTTCAGTATTAAAATACAGTAAAAATTTATCTATATGATGGATCAAATAACAACCCCACATGTTGCTATATATTGTCTGACCATTTGATATTACTAATGATAGATACGTTGATAAAAATTATACATTTTATTAATCAATATTAATATCGTAAAAAAGATTTTTATCAAGAGTATATAAGGCTTAATCAATTTTCCTAAATTAAGTTTTCTTATGCAACATGTGGCTTATTACTACATCATTGTTGTTTATTTTGGTAAACTTTGTAGTCGGAGGAAGGTCACCACATGCAGATTACGTTGAGCAGTTGGTAAGAGCCAACAAATTCGGATCACGATTATCAAATAATATATACGAAGATGCTAGATTGGATGTGGTAAGTGATAAGTTTCTTTGTTAGATAATTTCTGATTTATACCAGGTGTAATGTTTCGATATGATATTATAGCTTTTGCCCACGACTTCGCCTGCGCAGAATTAAAAAAAGGCTGAGAAAAAAGGGAGCTACATCTCATGTCTTACTCAAAATTGTGTTCTATATCTGTGCCTTTTAGTAAAATCTGTTGAACCGTTGCGTTATCGAGTTATCGAGTAAATATCAAACGTATCCCGCGGGAACGGTTCTTTCAGACTGTGTACTACATCTATACTAAATTTTATCGAAACCTATGCAGCCTTTCTGGAGATAGCCAACAAACATTTATCAAACATTAGCATTCACTTATAGTATTAGTAGCAACTAAGAAAATGGTGGTGTTATATTGTCATTCCATGATTTTACCAAGTAGTTGATTCATTGAATTCAGTTATGAAAATGATAAACAAGAGAAAGCGTAAAAGTTTTTGTCCTAAAATAAAATGTATGATTTAAAGTTGTATTTAATTTTTAAGCCTGACCTCATCCGGAAATATGGATATCCGGTAGAATCACACAACGTGAGGACTTCAGATGGCTACATTCTGCAGATGTTCCGTATTCCACACGGTCGGGACCAGAACAATGTGCCCGGTGTCAAGAAACCTGTTGTATTTCTGATGCATGGACTATTGGCTTCATCTGCTGATTGGGTCCTTATGGGACCTGGCAGTGCTTTTGGTAAGTATAATAAAAACAAGTGTTGCAAAATTCAAGCTTATCTTTTGTTTTGATACTAATGCTTAACTTACACTGAAAAATCTTTTAGGCAAATATATTTCTTTACATCATGTTATCGTATTACAGGATATCTTCTAGCCGAGGAAGGATACGATGTGTGGATGGGCAACGCCCGCGGAAGCACCTACTCTCGGAGGCATATCCGTTTGAACCCCGATTCCAAAATCAATAAATCCTTCTGGCATTTCTCTTGGGATGAAATTGGTAACATAGACTTGCCGGCAATGATAAACTACGCTTTAGCTCACACGGGACAGAAGAAACTTCATTATATTGGACATTCTCAAGGAACAACAGTGTTCTTTGTTATGGGCTCTCTGCGGCCAGAGTTCAATAACAAAATAATTTCGATGCACGCTTTTGGTCCCGTCGCGTACATGGCACATAATAAGAGTCCTTTGTTAAACGCCATATCACCGCATGCTGAAAGCATAGAGGTAAACATTTCTCGCTTTACTTTAATGAACTTAAATTGTTTATTTTATTTTAATTACCATTTTCTGTAGAGGATTCTTTCCCGCATCGGCACGGGTGAGTTCTTAGGTGATACCTCGCTGTCGACTTGGTTCGGAGAGACATTCTGCAAGGATGGAGCAATCACCCAGCCGTTGTGCAGCAATATGATATTCCTTATAACGGGCAGAAACGAGGAGCAATTTAACGCTGTAAGTATTTGAATACAAAAACTTATAGCCAAATTCATAGCAAAGTGTTTTATATGAACTTTATTAATTTCTTGAGTCGAACTTTATTCTACTATCATTTAAGTTATTTAACTACTAAGTCACCATGTCAACCAAAGCTTGTTTTTTTTTTGAATGTTTCTCCTTTAAAAAAACATACAAACTTTAAAGATTTGAACATCACCTACTTTAACCCTATTCTTAGCACGACTATTTTTTTACAGACAATGTTGCCAGTGATCATGGGGCACTACCCTGCAGGAGCAGCGGTTAGGCAGCTTGTTCATTACGGTCAGGGCATCGTTGATAAAGAGTTCTGTCGTTACGACCACGGCTGGATGAAGAACATCCTCAGATACGGCACAACAAGACCACCCAGATATAACTTGGGAAATATTAAAATTCCAACATTTTTACACTACACGTATAATGATCCTTTGTCGCAAGTGGAAGATGTTACTCGTCTGCACAGAGAACTGGGCGCGGGCGTCAAAAAGCTTGTACCTCATCCGCTTTTTAATCACATTGATTTCATGTGGGCAATTGATGCTAGGGAATTGTTGTACGACAGAGTGTTACAGTTAATGCGGTCTGTTGAAGACTAAGTAAAATGAATTAGAATGATCGAAGTTTGTACCCTACTTAGGAAAGTTAGTGAAGCTAATATTTATATTTTCTGGTTTTTTGCTATCATTAATAGATTTTTGCTATCGTTAATTTGTTTTATTTATTTCTAAAACTTCTCTTAAACATCCCAAAAAAGATGATTGAAACAATCACAAACTCGTTACTGTTGTTGGGAGGGAGTTGGGACTACAAAGGGGAAATGGCAACAATACAATACTATCCAGCTAAATCAGTGCCTATTGTTTAAATTGTAGCTTACTGCCAAACATCTATGGTCGAAAAGCAACCCACTGGAAAGGGCAGAAATTACTAATTTGGCGATAGCACCAGTGGTGGCGTCGACCATGGGAGCGTCGGTGGCTCAGGGGTTTAAGCACTAAACTTGCAATCAGCAGGTCCTGGGTTCGAATACCGCCATGTACCAATGTGTTTTTAAATTTTCGGTTTACATACATATTGTACGCTAATGTACACCCGATGTTCTTACGGTGAAGGAAGACATCGTGATGCAACCTGCATATATCTGAGAAGAAATTAAAAGATATGTGTGAAGTCAACCAACCCGCACTGAGCCGTCGTTGACTATGGCCTAGTCACCCCTAACATAGGGTAGGCTCCGAACCCCTCGGTGGGGACGTATACGTATACGATGAACCAGTGGTGGTACTTAATGTCAATATGTCTAAAACTTGTCGTGTCCTACTATTCCATATTATTACCATTTTAGATAACACAGTTTCAACGACGCTTGATACTTTAAGATTAATATGGAAACGAGTTCAACTAAGAAATATGGATGTTAAAGAAAAGCTCTCATCAAGTAGCATAAAAATATTTTCTTTTTTTACTCAAATTGCTGATTAAAATTCTTTTTATCAAATCTGAACTCAGTTGCTCGAGCATTAACGTAACAACGGTTCAGTTCCATTACAGGCTTAGTTAGATCCGTAAATCAGGAAATTA